TATGCAATCTAGTGCATTGGTTCCCAACCTTTTTGTCAGACTCCCACAGCCCTGTCAGATGTACTCAAGCACCCCTTAAGTGGCACCACCTGTCACTCTCCAAACATGTTAATTTTAACTGGTTTTAAACAGGATTGGTTAGAATAGGCTAGTTTTAATTATATGAAAGTAAATTTCTAAAATGTAACTGCGTTTGTACTACTAACACTTGTAGCCAGAGAAGCTGGATGTGTCTACCATGTATGCATACTTTTAGCCAACCAGTAATTCATTAATTTTAGCTAATAATGTCAACCATGTAGCCTATCCATTATGTTTAGTTATTACTATTATCTACCCATTATTTTTAGCTATCTATCCTTTAGCTAACTACTTGAATGGTTAACTGCTTCTTTTAGTTATTTCACTATTTATCCATTAGCAATCTATTTTAACCATTCAATAGGATACTCGTAGTTACTATTTTCAGCCACTTTTCCATTAGCCTACTTTTAGGTTTCAACTACTTTCCCGCTTAGCCCGCTTTAGGTTATCTATTTCAACCATTATCTATTACTTATTTAAACCGCTTATTCATTAATTTTGCTCTTTATTTCATCTGTTACTGATCTAGCAAGCACACTAGTAGGGTAAATATATTACCCTCTTTACCAGGTCACACATGGTGATCGCTGCAGTCATATTGCACATTTAGACACAGATAAATATTAAAATGATTATAATAATACAAGAATAATACAAGGAGAATTGGAACATTGGGATGGTTACTCTGTATGCCCTTTGTGTGCCCTGGAATCAGACTAAAACAACCTCAACAATATGTGTTGAGGATATGTAATTTCAGCCACTTAGGATCATTAAAAGGAGATCATATTGAATATCACTTCTAGAGAGGGAAAGAGAAAGCGAGAAAGAAATAAAGAAGAGATTTGTTTGTCAGTCAATTCCGACCCACTCAATCTCCTTAGCCTTGTGAAAAAGGGGGAGAAAAAGGGTCGGGGTCAGCTTTCTGTAAATCTTCTGATGAAATGTTGACAAAACAGCCAATTTTCTGTAATTTTGCTGCAGCCGTCTTTCAGCAACTTACTCACTCAGAACCCCTTCATTTCAAACAGCAGCACACTGCGACCTCTGACATGTAGCTCGTCCCTGACTTCTTTGGCCTGGCAGAAAGACAGTAACAGTTGTGCCTTTTAGGTCAGGTGGATGCCGTTTAAGAAGCCAGCCTCATAAAGGACTCCTTTGTCTCTCAAACAGGCTCTCTTGGGCCCCAGTAAAAGGATAAGAAATGTAGTTAATAGCTCAGGAGTGGCCTAATCATCAGCTGCCATTACTGCTCCAATATCAGCAGAGATGACAGACTTATCAATAACAAAGGCCCAGCTGAAGCCTCCACCGCTCTGTCATTTTGATCTTTGCTCCACTAATCAGAGCTTTCATTTGAGCTAAGCACCAGGCAGCACACCTCTCATTCTCTTCATGCTGTGCCAGATATCACTCATCTTTACAAGCCACTCTGTATTCCCTCAACCCCAGGCCACCATTTCCACAAATTGGCTTAATTTCTCAGGCAAATATATGACACATCTGAGAGCTCATTATCCTTGCAATGCAAGTGATTATTGTACTTAACTGCTAAAACTCTCATAGCTTTCGAGGTTTTGTCTTGAATGGCTTTAGTTGGAGTCCAGCTGATTTTTAAAATGAAATGAAGATATGTCAAACTGACTATCATTGTGCTATATAAATATTTCATAAGCTTACGCTGTTTGCTTTAACAGTGCACTTCCAAAAAAACAAAAGGATTTTGATCCATGTTGTTTCTCTTGTTTGTCCAATGCAAAGCATGATCTGAAGAGTAAAACATCCACGTGTTGTAAACAACAACAACACTTATATTAATAAAAGGCTGTCCATCTACACAGATTAGATAACTGCCTTTGTCATTAGCCTCAGAGAACAAATTGCCTTTATGCAGAATATTCCATATACTAAAGGGGGTGATGTGTATGCTTTTTAATGTACATAGTTTAATGTCAATATTTCTCTTGTTCATTCTTCCACAAAAAGCTCCTCCATCAAGGAGAAACATGATAGGGCCAAAGAGGTGCTCCCGCACCTGGACGGGCTGGGCCTTTCATTTACAGTCATGGTGAGGATCAGGCACTGACTGACTCAGACACCTGCTATTGGGAAATATGTTCTCCATCAGTGAGCTATAGACTATTTCTGGACAGGAGCACTGGGAGACCATTGTTCTCCCCAGCACTGACAGCCAAGGTATTCTGGGACTCTTGGCACACATAGAAAACAATGTGTTATTCATGTTAAGCTTAAAAATTGGGCTACTTATTTAACATTACCAAACAAACTGCAGTTAGAGTTGTATTTGTTGTTTGCAGCAGAGTTGTTTGGTATCTTTTAATATAATAATAAACAATAAAACTGCAAAAGTTACATATTCTATCTAGGAGGCTCACAAATGATGGGATTTCTTTTAAATAATTGCAATAGATGGAACAAAAGATCAGAGATCAGAAAATTGCAATAGATGGAACAAAAGATCAGAATAATTAAGAAACCAATTAGTTTTGTTAGACTTACTAGAGTACATTACCAGAATCACATAAATTTCCTTTTCAGAAGAGGAATAAATACAAATCTTTGATCCATATCTAAGCATAACCAGGCTTAACATAAAACAGTGGAGCTCCTTATTCCCTCAGTTTGATACATGATATGTGTTCTTTAAACAAATCATCTGGTCTCTGCTCCTATACAATCTTATACAGGGGCAGGGGGCTTGGGGATTTTGCAATGTCATCTGGGATTAAAAAGGAGCAGCACATCAGAGCCCCAGGCCACACCACCTGGAGCCCCTATACGATCCCTGGCGCTGCACCACTCAAAACCAGCCCCATTAGCTTACCGCCAAATAATTCCTGGTCAACCAAATGACACTGAGCTAACAAAGCCCCATTTCAGAAAAGATTACAACTTCAACAGGAAACCCTTTGATTATGAGTTTGTTTGAAATGTTATCAATACCATGATCATTCCTGCGGATCAACAAAACCATCTCTAATCACCATACCTTGGCTGTACCTTCAGTTGTGCATCAATCTACTGGGGGGTGGTGGGGGGGAGCAAATCACGGTAGAGAATAGAGGAGTGACTTGTATAACAAGAAGCACGTGCAATGACAAAGCGATTCCTTTCTCTACGTTGATCACCCACCTGCACACAGATTAGGTCAGATATTCACGTGAGCTGCCAACATGTCACTCACACTTGATAAAAAAAAAAGAAACACACACAGCACACATTCATTTCATGTTAGTGCTCCTAACAGTAGACAGCAGACAAGAGTTTACCTGTCCCATTTACCAAAACAACAAAGACACCCTAAAAATAATTAGTCAATTAAACACAACACAGTGTTTGCAAACAGCTTTTATAATATAAGAGTGTAAATAAGATGATGTGAAATATGGCCATGAACCTTAACCTCTGGTCAGGGTCACAGTATACACAATTCAATACAATGTGCCATTCACAGACATGAAAGTTAATATTTGTATATATATATATACAAAAGATTAAAACTGTATGAAATATATAATATATTAAGTCCAGTTTTTGTGTAAGTTCTTGTAAATTATTATACTTGCAGTGCGAAATTAATGTATTCAAAGCTCTACAGTATGCATAAAAGAGATAAGTACAGTAAACAAATCTCTCTTCTTTGGGTGATGACCAAACATAAAGCTAAACTGAAGTTCTGTTTTCATAAGATCCTGCATGAGGGCTACCCTTACAGTAATTTCCATGGTGTTATGTTTGCAGTTTTATTGGATTAATGGGAAAACTATGCAGATGATCGCAAATATTTTCCACTGTCTCTAGGAAATACTTTGATCTTTCTCGTAAAGCTTCTCATTTATTTATTTCAGTTTCCAGCATTTTCCTCATTTGCCAATGCTCGATCATTTATGATGCACAAAGTTAATATTCATAGTTAATATACACAATTCAAACCAGACAACCAACAACCAAAACCCACACAAGCAGGTATTCATTGTGGTTACAAGAAACAATGATTTTAAAAAATAAACATGAACATGTTAATATTTTTATCCACCACTTTAGTTTAGTTTTTGTAACCTAATTTAGTGTATAATGCCAATGGTATGTTGAATAGCATACTGTCCTTGTAACTAATCCAACTCAACCTTTTGAGAATAATTTTTATACAGTCTATATGACAGGGATGCACAGTTGAAGTTTCATCATCAATTCAGTCTCTGGCGCCCCCTTGTGGGATCTATGCAGAACTGAATTAATTAATTTTGAGTTCATAAAAACTGCTAATGCAACCCATTCCAAAATACTTTTATTAAACCCAGCAAATGTCTGAAACTAAAACTAAAATGTGACTACCAAAACTTCTAATGAGTTCAGAGTTGATCAATAAAGTTCTTAGAGTAACACAACTGAGCTCAACTCAATGCCACAATTTGGCGATATCTTGGCGATAACCTCATGCTACCCTCTGTTAGTAGGCTGAATAAAGAAATAAATCTGTTTCTGTATTTAAAACAATGTAAATGTTGCCAATGTTAACTTTTTAGAAAAGAATAAAGTTTCTTTCTCTTTCTCTTTCTGTTTGTGTTCGTGCGTGTTTGCGTGCGTGTTGGGGGGCAGCTGCACAGATACACAACTGGAAAGGTGTGGACCAATTATTTAAATGAAGAAACAATAGTATTACAATAAGTACAACATTTACAGAACAACACAAATATACCAAATATGGAGGAGTAATAGCCACGTTATCTGTTGAAAACTATTAACGACTGTAAGCTACTTTACATTTTCGCGCGTGTATGTATGTGCGTGCATTACGTCGTATAGTGAGAACATTATGTCTCAGTACATAATAGTGACATGAGCAAGGGAGGGGCTGCTGCTGCAAAACACACTGATAGAATGAATGCAAAGAGCCAAAAGAACACTTCCTGTTGATGCAAAAATTGCAGCAGCAACTGTCTGACACATCTGGACTGGAGAGGGGGGGAGGCCTGGCTGTAGCGTTAGCGAACTACTGAGGGGAATGGACAACGTTTAACGCTAACATTAATGCTAATCTGCAAGACGGTGAGTTGAGTGGACTTCAACTTTGGCTTGGACTGGTGACCATAATGCGTGTGTAATGTCGGCACGTCTTTGCTCTTACAGTGTAAGTAATGGGGAAATAATTGCCTGCGACCGTACGCTAGCATGTAGCTAGCGTTAGCCGCTACCTAGCACTGGTCGCTACTACATGCCCTTTGCTGGCACGGAATGGTTGCTAACCAAGCTAGCCCGAACTGTTAGCATAAGCTAGCTAGCAGATTAGCTATTTCATATGACAGCCGCTATAGTTTGTATCCGCGTTCGACGTTGTAACCTGGCTACTAAACTACACAATGTTGTCAAGCTTGTATATAGCTAATCTGGGAAAGTGTGTCCAAGCCGTAAAATAATCCACCATGTTTGAGTGAGTGAAGTCTTGAGTGAAAGTTACGCATTTTTTTTCTGAAATAATTTGCTCGATTCTAGGCTAGCATGTATAGCTAACTTAGTTAGCCACCGCTTGTGTGCTGTTTTGTAGTTCGGCCCTGTGAGGCGATGCAGTTTTTTTTTAAACGAACGTTAATCTAACTACAAGTTCCCGTAGAAATGAGAAATAGTGGAAACAACAAACAAAACGCAGGTGGATGTGAATGTGAAGCTAACGTTAAATGCTCCGATAGGTTGACCACCACATAAATAGCGAACAGACTACTAAAAGAATGGGTTTGAATAAAGTTTGAGACGCCGCACATTTGCTACCAAATGTAACGGCACTGCCTGCATCTACGATGGGATCAACCTTACATGCTAATGTCCCCCAGTGTCCATTCACGATGAAGTAAACACGACTCCGAAGCAGTAACGTTAAGTTGGCGTACTAAATGCGCAGCGAATAACGTTACATGCAATAACAATAAGCCGTATTTCAATCTCACTGTTCGTGTATGGGGTGGCATCATCAGGCCCGTATGTTTTCAGGGTGTCAGTGGTTTTCGCAGAACATCTGTTAAGGTGAAAAACTAAAGTACTAGCAATCATCTTGGTAACAGTAAATGCACTTGTAAACTAAATAAACTGATGATGTTATGGCGGTAAAGGACAAAGTGCAGGGACATTGCAAGTTATTCTGTACACCTGGGTTCACCTAGTTCACCGAGGACTGTGTTTGGTATTGCTTTGACATCCATTTGTCCTACAATTTCCCAATTGCTTTGCTAAAAGCCTAGTTTAAAACCAACAGCATTCGATATTCCTGGACAATTGCCTCTGAAACTAGCTTAAATATTTTAACTGTATGTCAGAACAGAGTGGAGCCAAATCAATTACGACTTCTGCGTGAGCAGGCATAATGGCTTCGCACCCGTTCAACCCTATCTCTTATAGTCCCGTTTCTGTTTGGGATAAGCAGTAAAACTGTATTGGTTTCAATTAGTGATTGTGCAATTAGTGATTGTGCAATACAATGCATATGCTGTAGTTACATAAAACAATGTCTGGTGAAAACGGAACTCTGTGAGGTCTATCTGTAATGGTAATCTGAAAATCCAGAAATTGCTTGGCATTGTCACAGGTTACTGAGTGTAGGGATTTTATCAGAAGCCTTTACCAGGCCAGTTTTGTGCTCATGAAACTGTCATATCACCTATTTATTTAAATGTCACCGTATTTACTGTTTTGTGAATCACAAGGCAAAATGTTAAACTCATGTTCAAATATTGGCATCAGTAAATGTCATTGAATAAGTTTTAACTTTCTAGCGGTGTGATAAATAGTTTTTTTTATTTAGGGGCATTGTGTCCAATGTATCACTGCAAACTGTAATTGCAGCAGTGGAATCACTGCAGGGAGGCTATAGATGGAAAGATGACATAGCAGGATGATATCCTGGCTAATTAGTTCTGGTCATTAAAAAAAAACATTCGTCTGTCTTTATGTTGTTATCGTTTTCATTAAAATTCCAAAACATACGCATTCATTTCCTATTTTGAGTGAACTTGATTATGTTATCATGGCAAACTTACTTCTCTGCATTGTACAGTCTCTTATAATGCTGTTCGTAAATGATCATTTCTGTTCAGTGTTTTTATAAATTATGACTTTTCTTATCACAGCAAGTTTGAGAATGAATATGTTGTCGAAGAAGTATAAAGATAACAATAGGCTGAAGACTCTGAAAGTCTGTGTTTTACTGATAAGCATCTTGAGTTGGCAGAAATGAAAGATAAGCATTTTGTTGTTTTCCAGTTATTTATTCCAAACAAATCAAATAAGAGAACACACCCGGAGGCTAAGCATGTACAATATTTAGCCTTGCATACTGAGCTCCCACTAAGCCTTTCCACAGTGTATGTTATTCTCACACAGTGTATGTTATTTCCTTACATCATACCTTCCCATTAATGTATCAAAATCTAGTCTATTTTTATCTTATTTTTTACTTTCTGTTTTAAATTGCTCTCCAACCTTTGCTTGTTAAGCAGTTCTGTTCTGGGTCTGGTCTGCCCCACAAGCTGTTTCTCAAAGTAGGTGAAATGCTGCTGATGTTGAAGAAACCAAACAATGCTTGCTTTGCTTGCTGACTTTGATTTTTCTTCTAATGTTTCTCTCTCTTTTTTTTGAGTGACATGCCAAAGTTATAGACTAAAGCTTTAGTTGATGTCTTACCACCAGAGTTATGCTGACATTATTGTCAGCCAAACTATCAATGCACTCTCAGCTTCCTTTATACCTGAATACATGAAGCAGTTATGTCCAAAAGGTTTATCACCAGGCAGGAAACTTTTGCTTTAGATGGTATTTTTGAGCTGAGTTTCAACATTTTCTTTTTTCCCCACGTGAGCCAAGCATGTGATCCTCACCCAGCATGTGCATTTCCAATGTATGCATTCTTTGGCTTCCCTTCAACCTGGCTCCATTCAGTATGCATGTTGTTGGCAGCCATCGCTGATATGTATGTATGTATGTTTTATTTGAAGGCTGGTAATGGGCAAGTAAAAATGATGTCCACCTTCTCTCTGTTGATCTTTGCTACATCTTTTCCTCTCCTGTGCCAGGGTGAGAGCATATGGTTAGTTGGACAGGTGTCTTGGCAAGCTTTGGCAACTGGAGAAAGCGTTAATGTTCCCAAAGTGCTGACAGGGACTCAATGTGCAGAAGATCATGCTGAATTGCTAGCAAGGCGAATGGAGGGAGGGAGGGTGGAGTGGGAGTGGGAGTAGGAGAGATGGGAGACAGGCAGATGGAGTGGGGGGAGAGGAGGGTTAAGCTGGAGAACTGACACATACTAAGGTTTTGCAACATGGAAGTATTTGCTTTTACAAACAAAGAATTACACAGTAGGTACAGTAGAGTTTAATTTCATAGCTGCAGCTTTACGACGTGTGGTTTAACTAGTTCTGCTGAGAAGGCAGGGTCTGCGTAGGTCTGTTAACATTTTATCAACTAGCTCAAATCAGTATATTGTGTCAGGGTAGTATTGTCACTATATGTGCCTTTTGTGGGGGGATCTAATCTACCATTTTGCTAGAAAGTCAAAGCTTGAATGTTGACTTGAATGCAATGGAATATATTAGCGTGGCAGATGTCCGTTGCGTTTATTCAGTTGTAGACATTACAAGAAAGCTTGGTATATGCTCACCTTCCAAGAAGAACCAGATTTTCTTCTTTCGCTGCCAAATGTAGCATATACACCTGTATGTATTCCCTTATATGACGTTTACCCACAGTTAGGTGTACGTAGTCGAAATCGTTTCATCTACTTTTCTTGCAATTTCCTGTTTAGCAATAAAGTCTATGGATGAATGATCGATAAAAGTGCCATAAATAAATGACAGAAAGGATGCCATGTGTAAAGGAATTTCTCATTTCTCAATTTTATCTTTTCGATTATTGGTCAGTTTTGTTTCTTGCACTCTAAGCACTTTGAGTTTGGGGTTTACAGTTGTGTCATAGCAGTTGTCTTTTGCTTTCATTTTTAGGATTGAGTGACAGTGGGATGTTAAAATGTCCATACTCTGTACAGTTTAATGTGTGCAGTTTGTATGTGCTTGTGCAGGAAAAATTTTCACCTTTTCCCTTTTGAAACGTATAACCGGATTTATACTTTTCCGACTGTTGGTTTAAGTAACTGCATCTCCCAACGGAACACCACTGTTGAATGTCAGCGTTGTAACATAACGAGTTGTCGTCAACTAAAATACTTCACCTGTCACATGCTCTGCTCCACTCCGTGAGGGTGTACGCACGCGCGTGCACACACACACACACACACTGCATTGCTGTCTTCCTCTTGGCTCTAGATGTTGTTTAAAGTTAAAAATATTTGATTACTATTTCCTATTTCATGGGCTATTTTGGAAAATGCATAAACATTTATAAAAAATTGAAGCATTCAGTGTTAAAAGTTCAATAAATGCATGATGTTTCCTAAGTCAATCAATAATCGTGTTAATAACCAGTTATGACCAAAATAATCATGATAATGAATTTTGCCATAATCGAGCAGCCCTAAAATATAATATAACATTTTGTACAACATACTGTGTACTGGTAAGCTCATTAGCATTTCAGAAGATTATATGGATAAACTCTTCCATCAGGGAGCCAATACAACTAGGTATATAGGGATAGTCACCATGATCTTAGAAGTAAATATGTATTGTAATACAGCATATATCATCATAAACATCAAAAACAAATACTACAAAAATATATTAAACTGGAGTTAAGATAAATACACTTCATAGGCTACTCAAATTTAGCCTATGGAGGGAGGGAGGGTGGAGTGGGAGTGGAGGGAGAGGAGGGTTAAGCTGGAGAACTGACACATACTAAGATTTTGCAACATGGAAGTATTTGCTTTTACAAACAAAGAATTACACAGTAGGTACAGTAGAGTTTAATTTCATAGCTGCAGCTTTACGACGTGTGGTTTAACTAGTTCTGCTGAGAAGGCAGGGTCTGCGTAGGTCTGTTAACATTTTATCAACTAGCTCAAATCAGTATATTGTGTCAGGGTAGTATTGTCACTATATGTGCCTTTTGTGGGGGGATCTAATCTACCATTTTGCTAGAAAGTCAAAGCTTGAATGTTGACTTGAATGCAATGGAATATATTAGCGTGGCAGATGTCCGTTGCGTTTATTCAGTTGTAGACATTACAAGAAAGCTTGGTATATGCTCACCTTCCAAGAAGAACCAGATTTTCTTCTTTCGCTGCCAAATGTAGCATATACACCTGTATGTATTCCCTTATATGACGTTTACCCACAGTTAGGTGTACGTAGTCGAAATCGTTTCATCTACTTTCCTTGCAATTTCCTGTTTAGCAATAAAGTCTATGGATGAATGATCGATAAAAGTGCCATAAATAAATGACAGAAAGGATGCCATGTGTAAAGGAATTTCTCATTTCTCAATTTTATCTTTTCGATTATTGGTCAGTTTTGTTTCTTGCACTCTAAGCACTTTGAGTTTGGGGTTTACAGTTGTGTCATAGCAGTTGTCTTTTGCTTTCATTTTTAGGATTGAGTGACAGTGGGATGTTAAAATGTCCATACTCTGTACAGTTTAATGTGTGCAGTTTGTATGTGCTTGTGCAGGAAAAATTTTCACCTTTTCCCTTTTGAAACGTATAACCGGATTTATACTTTTCCGACTGTTGGTTTAAGTAACTGCATCTCCCAACGGAACACCACTGTTGAATGTCAGCGTTGTAACATAATGAGTTGTCGTCAACTAAAATACTTCACCTGTCACATGCTCTGCTCCACTCCGTGAGGGTGTACGCACGCGCGTGCACACACACACACACACACACTGCATTGCTGTCTTCCTCTTGGCTCTAGATGTTGTTTAAAGTTAAAAATATTTGATTACTATTTCCTATTTCATGGGCTATTTTGGAAAATGCATAAACATTTATAAAAAATTGAAGCATTCAGTGTTAAAAGTTCAATAAATGCATGATGTTTCCTAAGTCAATCAATAATCGTGTTAATAACCAGTTATGACCAAAATAATCGTGATAATGAATTTTGCCATTATCGAGCAGCCCTAAAATTTAATATAACATTTTGTACAACATACTGTGTACTGGTAAGCTCATTAGCATTTCAGAAGATTATATGGATAAACTCTTCCATCGGGGAGCCAATACAACTAGGTATATAGGGATAGCCACCATGATCTTAGAAGTAAATATGTATTTTAATACAGCATATATCATCATAAACATCAAAAACAAATACTACAAAAATATATTAAACTGGAGTTAAGATAATACTTCATAGTAGTATTCATAGGCTACTCATATTTAGCTTTGTTGTTGTGCTGCAATGCATTCAATGTTGTTTCTTTTGGCATAGAATTTGTGGTATACTATAATGTATAAAGTAAGTAAGCCTGTATCAAATGCTTGCCTTTAACAGCTTTCTGTCTCACTTGTCCTACATATATAGTACAATAGTTTTTTTGTTAATTCTTTAAATATAAAAAAAAAAGTAAAATGCTGCGATGCAATGTTTGAAAACCTAATGTCTTCTTGTTTTCAGGCTGTCGACAAACTGGAGAAACATATCCAAGAAATGGACGACGGCAGCTACATCGAGTTTGATGTGCCGGAGTTCAGTAACACTGTTCTTACCCAGCTCAATGAGCTGCGGCTGCAAGGGAAGTTGTGTGACATTATTGTTCACATTCAGGGCCAACCGTTTCGAGCCCACAAGGCTGTGCTGGCAGCTAGCTCACCCTACTTTCGTGACCACTCAGCTCTCAGCACCATGAGTGGCCTTTCCATCTCAGTCATCAAAAGCCCTGAGGTGTTTGAGCAGCTTCTTGCATTCTGCTACACAGGTCACATGTCCCTGCAGCTCAAAGATATAATCAGTTTCCTCACTGCTGCCAGCTTTCTGCAGATGCAGGCCATCATTGACAAGTGTACCCAAATCCTGGAGAGCATCCACTCCAAGATCAGCCTCCCAGTTAATATCTGCAGCCCCGAGAAGGACGACTCACAGAGCAGCCGCAATGGGGTCAATGACAGCAACCTCTTTGTAAACCCTACCCAGATCTCCCCCCCTTACTACTCCCGGCAAAGTCAGGCAGGACACGAAGCGCGCTTTGAGCTGGCGGGAAAAGGCCTGGGCCGGGGGCGACAGCAGCAAGAGGAAGGCCAGTCGGACCGAGGCAGTAGTGATAGTGTGTCAGAGCATGATGCTCCCTTGGAGGGAGAAACAGAGCAAGTGGAACTGATTGGCAAAGATGGGCAAGTAACAGATGTGCATGTGAAGGTAGAGAAGACTGAGAGGCCCACTTACTCAGATAGTTCCTCAGCTGGTGATGATGGCTACCACACAGAGTTGGTAGATGGAGAACAGGTATTAGCTGTTAGTGTGGGGTCTTATGGTCCTGTCATCCAGTCTGCTACCTATTCTTACTCAGGGCTGTCCTCCCCGTGCTTTGTCAACCTTAGCAGCTCCAGTCCTTCCCGCTCCATCCTCAGTGGCTTCAGAGGTGGCCGAGCCAGGGCAAAGCGCCCCCTAGCCATCCCAGCAGGGGTGCTGAGTCATATCAAACCAGGCTCAGATGACAGCGAATCAGCTGTGGGACCCACAGGGTTGGAGAATGATGTGCGGGAGCGTAGCCTGCGGAGCCAATGGTACCCTTACAATGAGAGACTCATTTGCATCTACTGTGGAAAGACCTTCAATCAGAAAGGGAGCCTGGATCGCCACATGCGCCTGCACATGGGAATCACCCCATTTGTATGTAAATTCTGTGGCAAGAAGTACACAAGGAAAGACCAGCTGGAGTACCACATCCGTGGCCACACGGACAACAAGCCCTTCCACTGTCAGATCTGTGGCAAATGCTTCCCGTTTCAGGGCACCCTTAACCAGCACCTGAGGAAGAAGCACATGGGAGCATCAGAGGGCAGTAATCATATGGACTCTCCAGAGAGGACGGAGGGAAGCTCAGGTCAGAAGGACCATGAGGATACGTCTGAGGGGATGGCCTTTGAGGCGCAATACGCAGAAGAGGCACCAGCCAATGATATGGAAGAGAGTTCAAAATGCAGTCCAGAGGAGGCTCAAGCATCAAGATGTGATTTTTAGGTCCTGCTTCAGGTTCAGGAAGCTTTAAGAAATGTTTATTTTAACTCAACTTAAAGGACTTTTTTTCTTTTGGAATCGGCTCCCTCTACTGTGGACATTTCTTGCATCAAGGGTTTCTGTCATTTTTGTGAAAGTTAGATGTTGAATGCAGAGAGCAAATGGGTGCTTTATAGAAATTTGATTCTTTCAAGCAAAGGGAGTAACAACTTACTATTTTTGAGGAGGTCCCAATAATCAAGACCACCTAATTGATTTCTCTTTTTATCTTTCCATGTTTTTTAAATATACATATTTACAGAGTTATATAGGCATGTTGCAATAATTGATAATGTGAAAGCTCTGGTAAGATGCTAGTCATATCACATTTTTACCTGACCCGTTTTTGCACATGTGGCCACAGGAGGTCACTTACTCACAAGGAATGATTTTTCTGCCAGTGCAAAGCTTCGTGTGACATATCCGTTCAATACCTCATGATGCAACTACATACTCATAACAGACAGTATTTTAACTTAAATGAAACTCACCAGGTTCTACCTCATAGCCAAGAACCTACCAGGCACAGACGTGTTCACAGTTTTAATCCGTTTTAGGTTGTATGTACAGTATCTTATTGCCAAACCCTGTAAAGAATATTCTCTCAACACAAAGCCTTGATACTTAGGGGAAATATTCCTTGCTGATTGTATGGATTAGGGACAAAGTCCTTGTCAAATGTTTCATGGTCAGCCAGGTTGAGATGATGATTTAAGAAGGTGCTACGTTAGGAGTGCATTACATTTGCTAGCTTTCTTGTGTGTTTGTTTTTGGCAAATGCCGAAAATAGAGAGAAACTTTCAAGATATGATTTAGCTGTCTTATAACGTTTGATCTACACAAAACACTTAAGGATTTTATCTCTCATCACTACTGCAGATCTCACTCTGTTGGCCAAGATGTGGTTTTAGATGCTGCCATCCATGTAATGGGTGAATTACATCCAAACAGTGAAGTCATTTATATTCCTCTATACTCTGATTGCAGACTTATACTGAATTATTGTATGTGTAAATTGTTTTGTCCTGAGGTAGGCTTCTAGGTTAATGCTCAGTGTCTAACAGAGACAGAGACCCATTGTCAACTCAGCACAGTAGGAACAGCTCTAGATGTGTTCACATAAATCTATATAGTATACTAGCCTGAATAATATGCAAACAGAAAGAACAAAGGAATCTCAGCCATTTTGACATGGTTTTTCTTCCATTCTTTGAAAGAGCTATTAGGTTGTTTCCTTTTTTTCATTCTTCCCTTACTTTTATTATGAGACAATTGATCTGTGATCTTTGTCCTCTACATTGGTTGGGGTCAAATGTAGATTTTAAATATGTTTGCCATTGTCAGTCCTACTTTATGGTGTATTAATGATGGACGAGACTTCTTAACTTCGTCCCACTGTACAAAAAATGAAGCCAAAATGTCACTAATACAGGCGATGCCATCTTGGGCTGGGGACATCATTTGGAGCCAAAGTCTGCACGGTAGTGGGTTGGAGACGCGGTATCAAAGTCCCGCCCACACAGACTTGCTGCTCAGTTGCTAGCAGGACTCAGCTGTCAATCATGATGTGAAACCCTTTTTTTTTTATACCATTAAATAACTAATTAAAACCAAACTTGACACTTGAACATACATCAGTTTGAGAAGAACTACCTAAAATGACAGAAACCATCTTTGGTAAAAATGTATTTGAGGTGTACTTGGAGGGGGCGGACCTATACTTGACATATACTGCAGCCAGCCACCAGGGGGCGATCAAGATGTTTTGGCTTCACTTTTGGTGAGCGGTCAATCTTTATATACAGTCTATGGTGTTGACATGTGGCTTGCAAGATTAAGGCTAAGGGTTACATGTTAGAGGTAGCTGGTGATCCAAAGTATTGAAGCACTTTGCAATGTAAGTAGGTGGGATGGGTGCAATCCCATTGATAAAATGTGCTCATTCCTGTCTTAATTCTGGTGCAGCAGCTGCGTTGCAGAGTAGTGCTCGCTTCACAGCAGTGACTTTTCCTCTGAGTAAAAATGTTGTGAACTTGGAGGAGAGTCTGCAGTAACATATATACTATTGGATACAAGTCATGCATATGACAACATTATATTTTATCTATACTATTTGAACCATGGGGTTGTGGGAAGGGGGTGTTAATATATAGAGACTTGGTTTTATTTCCATTGTGATTTAAAATGATCTGCATTCACAGTAAAAACATAAAAGCCGCTTAGAAGGCCTGATTGATTATCCTGTCATATTTTGCAAAGTTAAAGCTCAGCTGGGTGGTCCCATTTGTGCTAACCTGCTTTCTTATTTGCCATCCAGCTGTTTAATGCCTTTTTAGAAGAGCACCTGCTATATGCTTTTATTTTGTTGACGTATGGTCCATGCTAAATTTGTGTTTGATTCTTTCGCAGTTTTCATGTAATGTTGTACTTTTGTGTGGATTTGGTGGGAGAATATTGCGTTTTGTTGCAAATGTCTAATTACGCCAAGAGCGCAGCCATTTTATTCCACTGAATGTGCGGTCACCGTTTTCACTCATTGACAGTTAAGATAGCAAACCAAAATGTATGGAATTTAGCAAAAATCGGTATAGCTAGCTTTTCGTTATCTTTTTGTTTAAGGATTCATCACAAACACTTTTGATCATCATCACCCGCAGTCTGTCGACCTGTACAATACTTTTTAGATGAATGTTTACTAAGTCAAGTTTATTTTTTATTCGCTGATGTGATGTGCAAGTTTGGCAGCTGATCTGACCTCACCAAAGTCAGTTGCTGACTAATTTGAATTTGCCTGACGATTCTTGCCCTTCACCTAGACAAAAAACTAAACAAGAAATGCATACCGTCTTGCGTTATTGTCAGCAAGTTTTTGTGAGTAATGGGTACAAACTGGTAAAACTATTTTGTGCCAACAGTTCACACCAAAGACTAATAGGTGGTTTTTAAAAGTAAATTTTGACTGTATTGCAAAATTGAATGCTCATTAAGAAGAATTTGTTGTTAATTTAATGTAGGACTAGTTCGTTGCTACTTGCAAGGAATGTACGTTTCCCAGCTTCTAACAATCAGTTCTGTAAAATTTGAACAATTTGCTAAGAACACATTAAGTAGCAAAGTCATAAATAACATCATATATTAAGCCATACAAAAGCTGACAATATAAAAGTTGTGCAATAGGTATTGTAATTGTTTAAAGCCAATGTAAACAAAAGAGAGGATACTTCACAAAAAGTGGCATCTTAAACTTAGTGCCTTGCCACAAGCTTTACAATTTTGATTCTGGCACTTAGATTCCTGTGCCTCTTGTGTTTTTGTAATGAATTGAATAGCGAGATTATAATAAGACATGGCCACATTATTTATTGTATGTGGTGCCAAGAATGAATAGAAATTAAGTCAGGTCATTCTTGTCCATTTTATAGTTTGTTTTTGTTTTTTCAGCGCAAGTCCTGCCCCCTGTTTGCTTTTTATCATTTGATTTGTTCTCTTGTCATTGGATGGACAACTGATTTTGTAGCAATTGATAACAATCAAATGAGGCAGACTTGTTCCCTGCAAGCCATTGCCCCATGTTCAGAGACTATACTGTATCCCTCCTCTAACAACTGAGGACAATCTTAGCGATGTACTGTAGTTTTAGGCATTTCAATGAAGGAAGGAGATGCATGAGAAACACAAACCTACTTCCTGTCTGTTCTCTCGGAGCATCTGGCAAGGGAACAGCTGCTCGGGTATTTAGCAGATAATAAACAGAATATTTGTGGAGAAAAAAGCTTACCCTCATATACTATAGCTTAATTGCACGTTGCTCAACCACAAAATTGTATAAAATTGCCAATAGATAATTTCTTAACTTGAATTTTCTTGTATTTGTGTCATCAACTGTGCACTTACAGGTTTTTTTTTATTTTATTGATAGTAAATACCAATTCCATCTGGGAAGTCTAGCTTAGCTCTCTGCTATAATGGCCTCAATCACTTTGGAAGAGACTTAAATGGTGCTTTTAGACAAGTCAGATTTTTTTTCTCTTATCAGATGACTACACAAGTCCATATAATCATCATATGTGAATGGAGGGGGAGTTGTTTAAATGCTTTTCACAAACTTTAGTTCCTTATGTGATATACACACACGCATAACCAACTGAACTTGACACACACTCAAATCGACTCTTTGCCAACTCCTAGTTCCACACCTCTGAGTGGAACAGGAGATGCATTATGGGCCACAAGTAATCAAAAGGAAGTGTTTACAGGGAAGGCTGTCAGACTACTTTTTGAAATTGCAGCTCGTCCTATTCTTTTTATAATAAACTCACTTCAGGTAGTTTACAAACACTGATACAGGCTTAGAAAAAAATCTTAAGTCTTCCATAGCTTTTCTGTCAGTTTCTGTCCACTGTGTATTTTAGAAAAAGCAATAACCTTTTTAAAAGTGGTGTATTGGGATCATCAAGCCTATTGAAATATTGGCCTGTCGTATATCAAACAAACGGAAATGTCAGGGAGCTGTTGAATTGAAGTAGGACCCGGACAATTTAATATTGATTTATTTTTTATATATTTTCTGAAACTTTGGACAGGTTGACTTCCTCCTATATATAAATAAAAAAGCAGTGTTGCTTGCTGGTGTTCAAAATGCTCATCAAACTCCAGTGGTAGTCCGTAAACTGCAACACAAGAGCTGAGCGTGTGGCTCAGTAATCAAGCTCAGTGGCACTGTTCAGAGTTGCACCTCCAGCTGTGTCAAATAATGAAAGGGATTTTGGGCTGTATAGCCACTGTTTGGGAGCGGGCTCTCTGTTTTCATGTTGAGGTTCAGTGGTCTCCTTTGGCTCATCAGGCACTGAGACTATAGTTGTAGTTGTTCAGGATCAGGGGGGAAGTTTTAAGTCTATTGTTGCTTGTTCCTTTTCCAACTCCCTAAACTGCACTATAAAGTCTCTGGCTCATATGTATTTGGTGACAAGGCAAAAAAAACTTAGAACTCAGGGTATATAATGTTAAAAGTGGTCTCATTTGACATACATCCTATGTCCATAGTTTAATTGTGCACTTCTCTTCAGGTGGGAAAACAAGTCCTCAGTCAGTGGTTCCCAAACATTCTGCCTCAAGGTCTCAATGAGCCCATGTTTTCCACAGAGCTGAAGCTTTAGGAGCGCTGAAGACCATGAACTGAGCCATGATAGCAGAAATACCCCAACTCCTATTTTGTCCACTCTACACACAACCTCACAACCCAACTGTGAACCTCAGAACTCTACTGTTTTGTACAACTATGAAGTAAATGAAGCTAGCTAGAACTGATGTTGTATCTATTGCCATTTATGAATTTATTTTATAGCATGAAATAAAATATATTTATTCAAATTATATATTTTACTCATAATCATTATGTGCTGCTTCATTTTGGTTCTTAAGCTTGTAAATTGCTTTTTTATTATATAAAAAATGTCAATAGAATAATGCGTTTGTAAAATAAAGACGCTGATTTGGCTACAATTTGTCTTTTGTGTCTCAGGAATTGTTTTATTTACTATGAAAATGCAAATGACCCAGATCAAAGCATTTGGTGTGAAATGGAAAAAACTCAGCCATCCTTTACTTATCTAGTTGTAGCATGTGTTAAACAACATGACGTCCAATATTGTAGTATATGTGGTGATGGCATGCATGGAATTCACATTATACTGCACTAATACTGTGTACGCATGCCATCTGGAGGAATTACTGATGTATGTGCAACTTTGACCCTCTAGGGGGAGCTGGAGAATAACAAATACACCTTAAACACTCACTCGTCTTCAATTTATTCTAAACAAAGAAATATCGCAGAACGAATAGGCTGTCATGACTTAAAATATAAGGCGGTTTAACTACACCATTACAATGTTACTAATACAAACAGTCTTGAGTAAATTATAGGCAGTGAAAATTAAGTTATATATGTTAGATAATAACTAGCAAAACAGATGTCTGAAAAGACCTTTTCCTCTTATGTACTTTTGAGACTTTAATAATCTGTGTCTTTTTTTTGGTACAGATGGTGCTTGTTGAAAATAGGCCATTCACAAACGTGAAGAAAGACACAAAGTAGTAGAATATAGGCCTAAGATAAATTGCTTCAGTCTCAGATGGCTGGTAATAATATGAATTTATCACCAAACAGGCTCCTTTCTCCTGCTAGATCGCTGGCCAAATTCTCTGCGTAATCCCCACCAGTGTTTTTGCTCCTGTCCCTACTGTGTTAAAAATGCATCTAGAGGGAGAAATATATCCATAGCACGGTACAGCTGTGCAACAACATCCCATGGTGTTAACACTGTATGTGGATTTTACAGAAAGTAAGACCATAAGGCAGCTTAATGACTAATAAACCACCAAACTGGCCAGCTATGTGCTTCATTGGCATTTTCTTGAAATACTTTATCACTCAGGCTGCATGTTGCAGTTTGTCACTGACTTCATTGAAAACTAGAACAATTCTGTCACTGTTACTGATATTCTCGGGTAAATAAAATCATACTTGGAAACATGTAAGCATCACTCATTATAGAAAATTCTAATAAACTGGATGAATTGTTTAAATGACAGCATTATAAGGCTGCACAGACATTTGATCCTAAAATAATAGGCTAAATTGCTCTGTTCAGTGGAATATGAGAATTAAAAAGACCGCAAAATACAAGGCCAGGAATCCCGAGGTAGTGATGTTTCCACAAGGAGTCTTTAACTGCATGCTATGGGTATGATGTATTGTGGCTCTCTGTAACACAAACTCTACCAGTTGGGTTGGAGGGAATAACTGATAAGTGTTGCTGTTTCACAGTTATGTTAATATTTATTTTCAGGATGAGCATTTGTTTTCTAATGGCAGGTTAGCTACTACTGGATGACCGGTGGGGTCTCCCTTTCTCTACACATTTTTGTTGCACTGGCTCAGCCTATCTCATGCTGCGATGCACACTGAAACTATAACCTTCTTACTGTCTCGCAATTCAGAAAGGGTCATTTATGCCTTACAGCTCATTTGAGTTGCTGCTGCAGCACAAACTGTGCGGTGTAGCTTGATAATGTAACCCATTAATTAATGAAATCCAAAAAAGGCATCTAGATGTTTCACCCCTATCCGTTCCCTTAAACCTAATCTCACTGTCCCAGTGGAGTAATTTTGAGTGGCTCTTGTGATATAGATGGAGATTTTAATAAATGTTCCATACCACTATGTTATTTGGCATTATTGTAACAGGGATTATTTGGAAGTTACCCAAGCTATTCCTTCACCAAACTGTGTCACCATTGGCCTTAAGGAGCATAAAGGCCCTTTGTGTCCTGGCTGGCTCTCAGCAAATGTTATTATTTGTGATAATGTTGTTGCCTCTCTGAATAAGATAATGCTATTTACAAGGGATTTGGGAGGAAAAAGTGGAGCTGGTGGGAAGCAGGTGAGAGGTTCCCACCTACACAAGATCCTGCAGTTCGTTTATTCCAGGAGGAATTCCTTCTCTGGGTAAAGAAGAGTATTATCACCACATACAGGAAATGCGTAAAGCCCCCCCGCACAGCAGCTAGCAGGTAAAGGTAACTTTTATCTCTTAATCTATGCTTTGTTCGTTTTAATAAGCAACTACCGAGGAATAAAGTAAAGTATCTGGCAATTTAGCTTGTTAGCTTACATTAGCTGGAGTGGCTTGATTGGTTAGTTTGGTTTCTGCAGATATGATACACGTCGAAGTTTCAACAGTTTGAACACTTGTTGGCAGCTTTATGCGATGAACTATGTGACTAAATATACCATGCTTTTATTTTAAGGTTATTGCGCAGGTGTCGTGTCCAGACCGCTGTGTTTGTCCTAAACATGTTAGGCTCGGCTTGCTTACAGTGGGCCTTTGGCATTTTTTGACGTGGCACAATAGGAAAAGCACAGGTGTAACGTTAGATTAAAAAATCAATGACTTAGCTGCTTCATTTTCATGGTCCTGGTGTTGAGCATGCTGGCTCACTGTCATGGTTTACTGGGACACTTGCATACAATGAGTCCATTGTTAATTGTATTATTAGAAACCCCTGTACTTTTCCAAAGATATAGCAGTTTGCCTGATAGCAATTATTACCCCAGCTGTGACATGGGGACATCAGGTTTTCAGCTCACGCATATGACAGATAGGAAGGCTTTTATGTCAGTATTTTGGGGGCCTTTTAATTGAGTTGTAGAGTTTAGTAGAGAGAGACCAAAAAGATTATGGAGCTCTACTATTGACTACCATAGGTTCTTAATTTCTGTGTGGCATAGGCTAAGTAAATGTTAAGGCACAGTATTTCTATTTTATTATTTTTCACTGTGTGTACCTGTACACCTCCTGAAATGGTTCCAAAAGCAAAACTTTCTGCATCAGTTTTAGAGAGTTTTATTTTGAAAAACAGCTAACATTTTAAACAAGATGCCACCATTCTTTCTACTAATAGCAACTATTAACATAGTGTGTGGTGATAACTTAAGTTTGTATTTTCATAAGTGAATTATATATCCCCCACACTGCAGCGCCTACAATTACGTGAACCTTGAGGAAAAATCTTAGGTACGTTGGCATGACACATTAGCCAAAACCCTGAAAAAGAAGACCATCTGTCAGATTCTGAGAAACCACTCCTTTTCCAAATATAAGCCTTTTCATGTTCATATTTTCCTTCATTAAAATTAAGACGGCCTGTTGTGCTCCAGTCATTTTGACTCACAGTTGAGTAATGCTTTAGATGCTCATGGTGTGCTGCTGTTCCACAGCTTGTTACTTACAGTATCGAGTGTACATTCAAAGTTAGTTGTTACACATGTGCTGCAGCAAGAAGTAACATGTTTTTCTTTTATTTTTGAGAATTTGATGGATTTGACAGGAATATTACTTCTGTCTTATTTGTTACAATTGCAACCTTTCCTACTTACAGTGAATGTCATTTTATTCCTTTAAAACATGCATGCATTGGTGAATGTTTTTGAGAGCCTTTCCAGGTTTTGTTGGAGATGGTCTCTGGTCTGCTCTTACATAGATACATGATAATAGTTCCTTGTAGTGGGATATAATATCAGTTTTATATTGTATTTAAAGATTTTGGCACACTTATGATCATTTGTGGTTGTAGCCAAATATGTATTTAACTTAACTGCCTGAAATAGCTTTTCTAATGGCTTTATCAAACTAATTCCAGAGAACAATGACGTTTGTGCCTTTGTGTGCTACATCTGTGTGCAATTATTGATAAAAAGAGCTGTGGGATGAAAATGCAGAGTGAACCGAGTTTGGCTCTTAAAGGTCACAGGCTGCACATGGAAAAAAATGTAACATGTACCAAATTGAAGTTTCGCTAACCAGTTCCCATGGATACAATGTATTGAAAAGACTGTGAAAGATTTCTGTCCTTTGTCTAACAGTGAAGATACCTCACTAACAAAGTTTTACTACTGCAACACTGGAAAAACCGCAGTAATACCTCACAAAATACAATTTCCATTGTGCTAAGGAAAATTCCTCTTGTCGATCCCTAAGAGATTTCCTGTAAGTTCCCTGCAGAGGGCTTCCAGACGTTTTGAAGGAACATGAAACAGTGGTCATGGCATGTGGCTGTAAAGCTATAAGCAAATCTGCACATCTCCACAGTTGGAAGTCAGCTCAAATGCCGGGTTCTTGGAAGACGGAAAAAAAAACTGAATTCAGTAGTTCCACTATGTAAGTAATAAACAATGAAGTGACTATTCTCCCAAAGAGAAGCTTTACCACATGATTATGTGTTTCTATTTTTAAGCACCTCTTAATAACTCCCATATGCATCACAATACGTTTACAGCAGCAATGGGGAGTGGTTTGAATAAATGACTCGGAAAAAGATGTTGGTTACCTTTTTTATGGTGGATTGTACTTCCATCGTGTTCAGAATTGTGTTTTTGCTGACTTGCAGTGTGACAATGACAAAAATAGGTTTGTGCCCAAGTAAGAGTTGTGTCACCTCAGTGGAACGCTCCATTACATACATGTGACAGAGACGGAGAAGTGGTCCAGGCCAGAGGTTACACATTACACTTTTTGTTGTCCATCATTTGTACAGACAGGGTTATAAAATTTTTGTCATAATTTATTATTACATAATCATTTTCATTTAAATGTTTAAAGTTAATTAGACGTAGCGAGACTTTACTGGACTCCCATGTGTTAAAATAAGGGTGAAATAAATTTTAAAAATAGCCTATTTCATTGATTTCATTTTCAAGAACAACTCAATCACAATAACAATTAATATGCAGAACTTACAGATTACTCATTTTTAAGGGCACGGACAGAAAAGATGAACAGACACTTTTCATGTCACCACATGAAGTAGATGAATGATTTTTACCTTCTTGCAGCCACTTCCTTCCCCTGTAACATTAGCTGCTGCTGGTTGATAAATGTTATCAGCATTACTTCCTCTTGTCCTTCACCAATTGATCCTTTATTTCACTTTGTTTATCAACCA